GCTAACGAGGGGCAGCTGGGCTGGGGGGCAGCCGGCCAGTGGCCCTCACAGAGGCACCGCAGGAGGACGCACACCTCAGCCTGAAGCCTGCTGGAAAAAGGTAAGTACATATGGATTTTTATACATTTTCTTCATTCATGTGGGAAGGTTTTGCAGCCTGTGCCTGCCTGTGAAGCTGGGTTGGGGTTGTAGGGGGAAAAAACATCGCAGTTCGTTGGAAAGCAGGCGCCTCGGGGGTTGGTTTCCACAGGGGTGCCCTCAAAGGGAGGGCCCTGGCTTGTGGGGACATGACGGTGCATGTATCCAGGGGGTCTCAGCATGGTATGCAGGCCCAGTGGTGTCCCCCAGTTGTGAGGAAGGACTTGTCCTCATCCCTTGGCTCCTGTCCCCAGACTGCTCACCATGGTCTATACCTGTGTGACCCCAAGGACTTGGTATCCCATACTAGCAACCTTGTGCTCAGACCTCCATTACGCTATAGGAAAGGGGAATTGTGTGGTGGTTGATTTCCCTTGCTCTGCACCAGAATGTGGGGCCAGTTATCAGGTAATGCAGGTTAGAGTTTGAGGCTGACTTTCTGAAAATAAGTGACAGAAATTCCCTTTGGTTTTAAGTGTTGCAGCTGGGGCCAGGGGGGTGGGAGGTGAGAAGACAAAGAAGGCACAACTGAGTGCTCTTACAAAGCTGGCTGGTGGTCACCTTTTCGGCTTGTACAATAGATGTCTGTTAATTTCTTATGTCTGTTGCTTGGAAGAAATTGTATTGCACCTTTTTTTGCTTGTAAATTTCAGGGGAAAGTGACACAGCTGGTTTCCCATGCCCCAGCACAACCTGAATCACCCACTGGCTTCCCTCACACTCTCCTGCACATGGTTACACCATGCACAATTTCTGTGTGCAGTGTCTCACAACTGTCTTTCGAGGCTGTGCTGAACAGTGTCACATGCATGCTTGTGTAGCTACAGAGTCACTTGGGTGGCCTATTTCTGTCAAGTGAAGTTAATGCAAAGTGCTCAGGGAGAAGTTATTTTTTGAGAAGACAAAACTGCTGGTCTGTCTTAGTTACTGCTACTCTTTTAGATCCTGCACAAGATTTTAATTTCTGTCACATCTGCTGTTTCCAAACTAATTTCTTCTGCAATTGGGTATTTGTTCTCCTCTTCCTAGATATGAAGTGATAACACAAATCACTTAATTTGTGTTCCTAGAATCATTTAGTTTGGAAAAGACCCTTAAGATCATAGGGTCCACCTGTTAACCTAACACTACTAAGTCCAGCACTAAACCATGTCCCTAAGCACCACATCTATATGTCTTTTAAATACCTCCAGGGACAGGGACTGAGCCACTTCCCTGGGCAGTGTGCCCCAATATTTGACAACCCTGAATAAATTTTTCTTAATATCCAATCTAAATCTCCATATTATAACATAAAGCCTCACACCTGTTTCCCAGGGTCTTCGTGGTCCCCTTTTCCCTCTCCCTGATGCTGTTAGGAAATAAAGCAGTGCCAGTTTGCTTTCTGGTGTAGAGGCTAACTTGGCATTAGAAAACATGCAGGATTCTGCAAATGCATCCCCCTTTGACAGGGATCTGTCTTATTGTTCCCACTGTCCTCCCTTTTCTCTTAGTGTTCAGGCAACCAAGGGGCAGATTTGTCCTGTAGGCTCTTGGCTCCTGTCAGGATGTGTTGCTGGACTGCAAGACTGACTACACACTACGCAGGATTTAACTAAAAAAAGAAAACACACACCCTTAGGCCATGCTGTGGTGCTTCCTGCTCCTCCCCAAAGCAAGCAGGGCTCGGGGTCCTCCCAGAAATAGTGACAAGATGAGTTAACCTTGCACTTCCAGGAGACCATATACTGTCACATTCAGTGTGACTATCTGCCTGCAGTAGGACAGGGTGTTTTTGCTTTCCTGATTGTTCTAGCAGAAGAGAAGTCTTGGCATCACTCTAGGAGCCAGCCAGGGCACTCTACATTTACTCTGCCTGTTTACCAGTGTCACTTATAGGAACTGGAATATTTATAGCTCTGGGACATGGGAGAACAAAACTCAAGAGGCAGGAAGTGCTGGCAAAGGCATGCTTCCTTCCTACCCTTTCTCTTGTTTTGTGGTCTCCTTAGTGGTAGCTGCCAGTGTTAGAAAGCAGGATATGCCTAATTAACTGTGGTGGAAAGTAGAACAGAGGGGTAGCCCTCATGAAGGCACTGTCTGTACCCTGAGCATAGCAGTCAGGCAGGCTTGTGGCTAACCTACCTAGAAATCAGGACTGCCAGTTCAGCAAGCAAAAATGAGATCAGCTTTACTCTTGTCAGTGCTGAGAGACATTCACCTCATCTAATCAGGGCAGTCAGGACAGAGACAGCAGAGGGACCAGCTCTCCTCTGCCTCTGTTAAGTGCTTGTACACTTCATCATTTAGGTTACCTTCAATCAGATAACGTAACACAGGGATGGGATAGGGGGGGGGAAGAAACAAGGCAAAAGTCATCCTCTTTTTTCCCCCCAGTCCCCCATCCCAAGTGCAAATAGCCTTCTAAAATACATAAATAAATCAAAACTTACTCGACAAGGCAGAGCATCAGCAAGATGGAAGCAAGACTTGTCTTTACATGTTGATAGGATGTAAACACATCCTATGCTGTAAATAACGCAGGACAGGAATTATAAGCATCATTATCTGTGCCCTGTCAGGGTCCAATGAGGTAGCCCAGCAGCACAGCCAGGCTCCTGCCATGCAGGCTACTTGCCATCTCTGTCCTGCTCCCACACAAGAGATGGGTTACAGCAACCTCTTCCCCACCCTCCCAGCAGCAGCATAGCGGAAACTTTAGCTGAACTTTGAGACTGTGGCAGAGCCCTTTGATGTGTTCCACAGACACCTTTACCTCCCTCGAGGGACAGGTGCCCAGAAAGCCTCCTGCTTATTTGCACATGAAGTCCCTTGCTATCATTAGCTGCATCAGCTCTAGAGAACAAAGAGGAAGAGCCCTACCTATCCATAGTCACAGAAGGGTTGAGGTCTGAAGGGACCTCTGAAGGTCACCTAGTCCAACCACCCTTCTCAAGCAGGGACTCCTAGAGCACATGAACCAGGATTTTGCCCAGAGGGTTTTTTATTATCTCCAAGGAGGCAGATTCCACACCCTGTCTGGGCAGCCTGTTCCAGTGCTGTGGCACCCTCACACTACAGAAGTTCTTCCTTATGTTCAGGTGGAACTTCCTATGCTGCAGTTTATACCCCTTGCCTCTCATCCTATTGTTGGGTGCCCATGAGAAGAATCTGGCCCCATCCTCTAGACCCTCTCCCTTTAGATATTTATAAACATTAATCAGATCCCCTCTGAGTCATCTTTTCTCCAGCTGAACAGGCCCAACTCCCTCAGCCTTTCCTCATATGGAAGATCCTCCAGTGTCACCATGTCTGTGCCCACAGGGTGACTGGCAAGACACAGCTCCAGCTCATGCCCTTACGGCAGAGCTGTGAGAAGGCCTCTGTAGCAAGGGTTATCAGACAGCAGGGAGAAAAGGACATGAATAAAACAGGAGGGTCCACCCTCCAAAGCAAATCCCCCATCAGTCATGGGGATGCCCAGCTCTGGGGCAGCTGCTGCAGTACAGATCTGTGCAATGTCACCACCATGCAGCAGTTGTGCTGACAGGAAAGCAACAGGCTTGCAGCCTGTCACCCTCCCCATCAAAAGCCTTCCAGTGGCTGAAATACTCTGCAGAGTGGTATTGCCCCTACCCAAGCAGGAGGCCCAACTGCTCAGCTGTTGAGAGGAGCAGCTGATGCAGCCCAAGCCTGGAGCAGACCTGCTGAGAGAGATTAGCCAACAGGAGTCAAATTCCACCATTTCAGCAGCATTTGGCTAAGGAAAACCTCACCAGCACAGGCAGTTACCAGCTGAGCTGCACTGGGGCAGCACTGCTGTAGCTTCAGCAGGCACAGAGGCAGCCCCAAACCCGAGCTCCCAGATCTCCACAGCAGACAGGACTTCTTTACCTTTCATCAGGTCCTCAAACGCTGCAGCAATCCCAACTCAAGCCCTGTCCTGGGTAGGCACAGCTAGCAGGCAGCTGGGGAACAGCAGTAGCAGACACACTCCAGGGCATTGCACAAGCAGAGCAAAGAAGTTGTAAGCAAAAGAGACTGTTTCCTAAGGTTTTTCCTTTTCTCTTTGGTCTGCCTAACTGCAGCTAGTTGTGCTTGGTGCACTCAGGGTTTAATACCTCTAGTAGCCTTGTTCAGTACAGCCCTCAGGCTGTATCCAGAGCTTAGCAGCCAAGTGTTACAGACATGGACCCACTGACTGCCACATGGCTTGTCACCCATACCTGCCATATTGCTAAGCCACTGACTTCACAGTTCAACATGCTACTGGGTCTCTGACAGTGTCAGGACCACAGTTAGTGAACCAGCACAGCCAGCCTGGATCCTCTCAAGACCTCACTCCTAAGCTTTCTGTTAGGCTTCACCTTACACTCCACATCTCTTCCCTTGACAAGTGCAGTTAGCCTGACTTGCCTGCTCTTCTCTACTCCTGAAGTACACTAGTGCCAGCCTACAATGCACCCAACTGCTCAACACATTCTTGGAAAGCAAAGCTGTTTGCAAGAGCACAAGCCACGCCCTAGTCCCTGTCAGTTCCCCATCCCCAGCAGGGAGATGGGAGCACCACTACTTGGTCAGAGATGGCACAAGGCATGTCCAACATAGATTTGTTTGAGCTTCCCTGGCTGGGATTACTCCCAGAGGTTAGAAACCAAACAGCCAGGGACCACTCACTGCAGCAAAAAGGGTCAAGGGAGCAACTACTGCTAAGGGAGCTCTATTCACAGTAAGTCATGCTGTGCCTGGCACGTGGTCTAACTCACAGCCAGCTGCAAGGCAACTCTAAGTAGGCACATACATGGATACAGACCCATTGCCACTGCCCACCCCTGGAGCACACACAGGAGCAAGCACATTAGAGCAGAAAACAGCAGAGGAAGCAGCCATTGCAAGTTTGGGTTTATTTCACTATGCAGGTTAGAGAAACAAAACAAACCAAGCTGTAGCTAATCACTGAACTTGATAGCTTTGACTTTAAAGTCACCCTCCACAGCCAGGTATTCGATCTTCTCCATGCCTAGCCGATTAGGGAACTGGAACTCCACCTCGGGCAGCTTCACCGTTGCCTCTGTTTCATTGAAGGAGACGCAGATCTGTAAAGAGCCAGAAGAAAGCAGGCTAACACATCACCACTCATAAGCCTCTCTTCCCTCCAGTCTGGGCAGGACAGATGAGGTGGCTGTTGGTCTCAAGGCCATGCCCACTAACTCAGCCTCCTGCCTGCCAAGCAGAGCCACAGAGGGGAGGAGGAAGCTTGGTTGCTCTGCTCCAAGGTCAGCTCCAAGCTCAAAGGGATAAGACAGACCCAGTCTGAATCCCAGGTCAGTGTTTTAATTGTTCCTACTCCTGGGGCTTGCAAAGGCAGGCCAGAGCTGAGCACAACACATCTGAGCTGTTAGGCATTGACTTGAGTAGAGCAGCTCTAGGGAGTGGGTTGGCTTTAGCTTCAAGGCTCTTCCCCTGGTGTTCAGTCCCCTTTCCATGCCTGCTCCTTCTCCACCACACAGGTAACCAGGCAGCATTGAAACACCATGCCCTTGGCCTGTTAGCAGTCTGTGCCAGGGCCTTGCCCACATCCTTGGGACCTCACCTCGATCTTGTCACCATGCTGGAAGGGAAAGTCAGCCTTCCTGTCCTCCTCACCCCACTTGCCATCCTCCTTCGAGTTGCACACAATGGTGTTGACATCCCCGTGGCAGTCGAAGCGAGGGTTGAAATGCAGCATGAGGGTGCTGCTGTCCTTCCCTACATTGACAGCAAACCTGGGGAAACAGGCAGTGCAAAGGAGGTGCCTCCACAGTGGCCCCAGCTACCCAGTGCTGACAAACCAAACGCAGCAGGGGCTCAGGCTTCCCCCAGCACCACATCAACCCATTTGCCATCTCCTCACTCACCCTTTGGCATCAGACAGGATCTTCCCTTTGACCTTGATGCACTCACCAGGCTGGATGTCCAGCTGAGTAACCACCAGTCCCTGCAGAGCCAAACCACAGGAGTTAGTCTGATCCCACAGCAAGCTGACCAGCAGTGCCTGGGCCATGGCTCAAACCAGCTCTGGCACACCCAAATGCTTTTGCAGTTTGATGCAGAGGCCAGCTGCCTGTCTCAGCCCTCTGCCAGGGAGGGCTCCTTCACTGCCACCACCCCCTTGGGGTCTCCCACCCCACTAAGCATCATAAGCTGACAAGGATGTGATTCCAATCAGTGCAATGAGTAGGGTACAAGCACCCATTCACCAGCTGCTGCAGAAGACATCCTTGCAGGCAAGCTCGCACCTTCAAGTCAGCAGCTGCCAGAGCCATTAGCACATGATTAACACTTTTTTTTACAAATACTTTCTAACCCTAGGTCTGTCCCCCTTCCCTAGGTGGGTGTCCAAGCCACAGGAGCCACCAAAAAAGTTACTTGTCCTGACCTAAAGCAGCCTACACACAGAGAGAGGGGTCAGTGGAGCCCACTTCTGGCTGCAGCCCAGTATAGCAGAACAAACACCCCCTTGGGAAGCTCCCACTGCAAAGAGGGCTTGATCCTTTCCTTGGAACCAGGTTACTCACTCCCCCAGCTGCATACCCCCAAAATAGCACTTTTCATCACCAACTTCCCTCTCTCAGCTAAGAGGAGGATGCTGTTTGGTGAGGTGTGGCAAAACTCAAATCATACTTGGCTGGCTGTGCTCCAGGCCCAGGTGCAATGCTGTTGAGTTCTACCTGACCATGTAACAGATAAGGCAGGCAGACTAGTTTCAAGTTAGTTATATCGTTTACTTGGGCTGGTTCTCCTTACCTGGCTTGTGCAGGCCCATACCCAGCAGGTACTGGCTGCTCTGGAGCCCAGTGCTCCTCCAGAACTGCCACCCAGCCCCAAGGGCGCTTGTGCTCCTGCCTGCTCCCTGCTCTGCCCATGGCACAGGCTGCTAAGATCAGATTTTCCCCAGACACTAAACAGCTTATCACAACACCCAAGCTGCTTTCTGGCTCTATTCCTAGTGTGGTGGTGCTGGAGCACAGCTTGAAGAGCAGCCTCAGCACCCAGGGGGTCTTTCGAGGAATGGGAAGTTAGGGGGACAGGACAGGACACACTGGCATCCTGCTTTCTTCTGCTGTTACATTCTGAGTTAGCCTAGTCCTGCACTCAAGAGGGATTCCTCCAGAAAGAGGACTCTAAGTTGAAGCGAAGAAAGGTTTTTATAAGGGAGATGCAAAGTGTAGAGTTGCCAACGGTCCCAAACTTTTAGAATCCTCAAGAATATAAACATGCATTAGAACAGCTTCCCCACTTCAGTAACATACTAGAGAGGAGGACGAGAAAAAAAAACGGTTGGTCAGCCCTCACTATTCCTCCCACAGCCACATATCAGCCCAGCATTTCCTCTCAGCTAATCCTTTTCCCCTCCTACCTCTGGCACCGAGCCCAAAACCCACACACAGACACAACCAAAGCCTAGTCCTGCTCGGCACAGCAGTCCAGCTCGAAGAGGACACTCACTTGCTCCATGCTGTAGACACCAGGCAGGACACCCCCGAGCCCCTGCTTCACAGCCCAGCGTGACTCAGCGCTCAGCTCCCGCAGCTTAAATCACTTGGGCCGGGCCATCACATGATGGAGGGGGGGCAAGGAGGGGATCGATTGCAGCTGTTGGGGGCTGGAGCTTTCCCAGCCATTTAAAGTGGGCAGCGGGAGATCTCTATTGATATTGTTCTTTGCAGGCAGGACGTGTATGATTTTAAAAGCGAGCGATTGTTAGCTTCTGCGTGATCCTAGAAATCCTTACTGTAAGCTCTTCTAGCTGCTATGCAGTGTATGTTGGCTCTTCTCCCGGGAGCCCGAGGGTGGCTCTGTGCCTGCAGCGAGGTGGCTGCTTTTTGTTAAGTGATCCCTGTCTAAAATCAGAGTTGGAGTCCTCATGTTACTGCTGCAAAGGGACTGCTTCTGAGAATGTGTGTCTGCATCCTCCCAGCCCAGCCTCATGGGCTGACAGGAGCCCCTGGGTACCAATCACGGCTACTTACAGTGAAATGAAACCCAAAGGTTTGTTAGGTTCTATGGTAGCATTTTAAAAGTGCCTGAAAGTTACGGCTGGTTGTGTGGGGCGCTGCTAGATGTGAGAATTCAGGCTGCAGCTTTTGAAAAGTAGTGTGATCTCATTGGTTCCATTCCAGTTGCAAAAGACTCCAGAGGGAAAAGAGAAATGCTTTGTTAGCGGAGGAAAAGGCTGGGCAGGGCTGAGTGCAGCCAGCAAGAAAGGAGGCTGCTTTTCCCCTTCAGTGTGTCCCTTCAGAACACAGAGGGTCTTTGCAGGCAGGTCAAGGTGGGAGCAGCTGCTGTGCTTTGTGGCTCTGGGTGACCAGATCAGCTGGGTGCTGCTGGTAGCTTTCGATTGGCTTTAGCAGGGTCTTCAGGCCTCTGTGCCTCAGTTTCCCTCATACATGAAGTTACACAAATGACATGGAGCTTCACAATCAGGCATGTAAAACTTCAGTCAGAGCTGCTATATGAACACAGCACGTTGGTTAAGCCGTGACTACAGCCTGTGAGGTATGTATCTGCAGATAACTTTAGGAAGGGCTGAGCACGGCAGCTTAGAAAACCACGCAGGAATTTCTGGCTAGGTAGCAGGAGGAAGTGTTCTGCTCTGCAGGAGGCTGCTGGAACTTCCTCAGAGCATGCTCACCATTACAGGAACAGCATCCTGACACCATCCTTTGCCTCTGACCTCCCCCACACCCATTTCTGAACATTCACGTGGCATTTCAGCATCCCATATGACTCCGGGTGAACCAAAGCTGGGCCGTGTTTGAACTAGAAAGTCACAAGCCTGAACTGGAGCCCTGTGACTGGAGTGGATAAAAGAGGGCAAAATGCTGACTGGAAGCACTATAGGGAGGATCCCGCGCCCGCTCTGGCCTCCAGCTAACTCCCTGGCCACGCTGAAGTCGGGAGTTACCTGCAGGAGCAGAGTTGGTGCAGGTTACAAATGCCACTGAGAGCAGGGCCCTGCACAGACAGTTTGGAGAAAGCCCAAGTGATTCCACCTTAATTCTGGCCCAGTCTCTGCCATGGTGTTAGCTGGGATCACGTGTTATAGACTGGCTTTGGGTGCCGAAGTTACTGTGCAGTCATTCCCCTGTTGGCTGCCACGTGTGAGGGGTTGAGCAAATTCTGTTTGTCAGTTGTGTTTTTGATTCGTTTTCCATTCAGCTCAGTGAAATCCCTGGGGACTTCTCTCTTCCTTTCAGTGCTGCAGTTTTTCTGGAGACAGAGCTGCTGACGAGGGGAGTTGTGGTGCCAGGGCTGTGCAGTGCTGTAGCATTGGCAACTCTGACTCCCCTTCCCAAGTGCACTTTTCTTGTAAGCTGTGTTTCTGGCCTGAAGTCTCCTCCTCTGCCCCTTTTGTTCAGTCAGAGAAATACCTTTCGAATATTACGTGGGGACTGCACAGTTTGTTTTCCTTGAGTGCTCTGCCCTGGCAGCCTACTTGGTTTAGTAACAAACCCTTTGGTCTTGCCCCGATTTAAAACACTCCTGGTCTTATGCCCTGTGAAATCAGTAAAGCTTTTATTCTCAGACTACAATGCTCAGACACCCAAATGCTGTCCATTTTTCCTAGGAATGAAAGCCAGTGGTGGGGAGGCAGAAAAAAGGACATCTTCCCTTTTGCAACCTCCAGTGGGAAGAAGCAGGAGAAAATTCCCCAGTGGGTCTCCTTCCCTTTTAGAGGGTTTGTAAAGGGAGACAGGCTGCAAAGCAAACCTACACCATCCAGCCTCACCTCATCACAGGTGACCCTGGCCCCTACACAAGCTGCTCTTGCACCCCAAGACCAACAGGTCATGCTCTGAGAAGAAGCCCTGGGCAGGAGACAATGCAGAGAAGAGCCCAAATTAGCTTTTCCTGTAGCAAGGGATTGCAGTAGGGCCCTGAGAGAGAGGAGTTGGGGTGCATACAGTGTACTTGTGCCCATTTCCAGGAATTCCTGCTCACTCACAGGCTTTTGGGGAATAGTGTATCACCCCCCAGGCAGGTCTGGCAGAAGCAGGGACAGGAGTCATCTCCTGAGTCATCATCTCCCCAGGATGCCCTCCCAGCACCTGGCCTTGCAGGCTTGCTTGAGGACCAGAGACCCAGCCCAAACTATCTCTTGGTTCACACAGGCTGAAGCTGGACAACTGGCCAGTCTGATTTTCTTGTAGCTCCTTAGAAATACCCCAGATTTGTTTGTTTGGTTGGTTTTTTTAAAAGGAAATACCAAAAGGATGTAGCACGCTCATTGTTACCCTTTTTAATCTGCTGCAAGAGAAGATACACCCTAGCTCTCGGCAGGTCATATCCCTGGCTAATCCCTCCTGCCATTAGAAATGGCTTATCCCTGTGTTTGGAAAGTCTGAGAACACACCTCTGCTGCTGGCTGACTCAAGGACTATGGTTCATGGTTTATTGTCCAGCCTGCATGACACGGGGTGCAGAGAGAGGCCAGTGCTGCTGGCTCCTCAGCATCTGTGCCTAGTTTGTCTTGCACTGAACACACACTGATAATTGTTGAGAATACATATCCTCAGTTCTTCGTTGCTGTAGCTGAGAAAGAGGCCCCTCTTCTTGCTGAAAGAACAATAGCAGCTTTCTCCTCCTTTGGAGATGGCATCTGGCCTCACCTCCAGCACAGCAGCGCTCTACATGTGCTTCCCTGGGAGGGCACCACTGCTTCAGCCATCACACCAGTGGGAATACACACAGGAATCACTTCGGCTGGCCAGGGAGGGAGGACAGCTGCTCCAATTCAATTCCACTGGTGCAAGGCTTATACTGGTAAAATAATGACAAGAAACACTCCTCACCCTTTTCTAGTGTGGGCTGAAGCTTACAGCTTGCTGTCAAGTAGGGGTTTTTTTGGACTTTCTTTAGGGAAGATGTGTTTTGTCCCTACAAGTTCATTCTCGGTTCATCAAGCAAAGACAGCACCTCACTGTTGCACTGTCTGTAGGGAATACTTGTGTCAGTACTGTCTGGATGGGATCCTGGTCTCAGCGATAGCCCCTGGCTCCT